GGGAAAAGACCTTTTAAGAGGGGGGCAGGGCAAGGGAAGGGAGTTTGATTTTGTCTGAGAAGGAGGGTAACCGTATGTTTTGGGCAAGCTAAAGAAGCCGTGATTGACCATTTCAACTTTTTACTGGCTGAACTTAAGATTTACCACTTCCAGAAATCTTGTCTAATATTCTTATTGGACCAACTTCTGTTGCCAAAAGTGTGGCTTGTGAAGCCGCTCCTGTGCCCTCCCTCCCCCGGCTCGCCTGTGCTCACCGGAGCGGTGATTCAAAATGGCGCCCAAGATGGTGGCCTTGGACGGGAGCCTGATATGGCCAAAAAGCTTAAGCTTGTTTCTTAAAGGGGCAGCCTTTTTTTTTTAAACTTGACAATTCTGGGGGGGGCTTTCTTTTTTTGTGTGTGCGCGCAACAATTTTGGTGAGGCTCTTCACATTTTTTCCACCGCTGTTTCAGCTCTCTGTTAGATGGGATGGCCACCCCTGAACTAAGGTCTGATTCTGCGGTACAGTACCACACTTACATTACTTTCTCAGTATAAAATGGCCGATTTTAACTAACCGTAAAAGCCTGTTTTATCCAAATGTTCAAAATTAACAAAAGCTGGAAAATGCTTGGTGCCAAATGTTTTTATAAACAAATGCTAACGTAAGTTTACCCAACATCTGCCCAACTATTCAGATCAGACTCACAAGAACAATTTAACAACTTTCATGTCTCAGAATATTTGTTTTCTGTTCCATCTTCATTCATCTGAGGGGCCCACTCACTTGAGCTATTGCAACATCAAAGACAGGCTTTGTAATGCTCACAACTCGTCAACATCTTTCTCCACTGCATTATCTTAAATCACAATAGGAAACTTAAAACCCAGTGTATTCCCTTCCCACAAAACAAAGGCTGCAGCACAAAAGAGGTAGATGTCTTTCCCACCATTATTTCCAGCATTATGAACTTAAATATCTATGCTCAGCACTTTAGAAAGGATACTAAGCCTGAGACAAAAAACAGTGAAAGCAAAGTAATTTGCATTTAAAAGGAAGAAGTCTCAAGCATTTTCAACATATACTGGCTACCACCATAACAGCTCACATTTAATCCCATTGAAATAAATATGGCACACTTTAGCTTTAACCCAGAGATTCCAAAACTGCAGGTCACAACCCCAAATGAGTTCTGCTCTGCACTGTGTGATTTTGTTTGCATGCATGGTGCGAGAGATCATCAAGCCTGGAGAACACCATTTGGCTCTACAGAATAGTATTATACAGTAATTCCTCATTTAACACTATACATGAGTTTCTGAAAATGTTTGTGCTAAGCAAAAACATGTTATACGGGGTCAATTTTCCCATTAAAAATAATGGAAAAGGTGGGGGTTGCGTTTCAGGTGGTGGCGGCAAAGTTAATTTTTTGTTGGTGCTGGGTCATCAACGTCAACATTATATATCTAGCAACACAAGTCACCACTGTTTGTTAAAACACAAAGATAAACATGAGTGAGCAGAGGAGCACTGTGACCATGTGTATTCATCCGCTCCTGCGTATTACCTCTGTTTTCACCAACTTATACCGTTGCGTGAAGTAGTCCACCACTTGAATATTTTCGTGTTATTTCAGGGACGGTCATGTTATTTGAAAAACGTTGCCTAAAAAAATCGTGCTATTGCGAAAACGTGTTAAGCGGGCACATGTTAAATGAGTAATTACTGTATCCACCATGCAGCAGGGCCTCACATGCATCATAAATATGGAGGTCCTGATGTGTGGAAGAGAGATTTTGTACACTAAAGTAGCCTATTCCAGGCACAGTGACCTCACATGCACAGTGTATGCCGACTCATGTTTTATAAAGGAGGCTATTTTGCTCTTCAAACTTGTTTCCTCCATGCTATCGGGGTTCCCAGGAAGAATATTAATTAAAATGAACAAAACATTTGGAACCTCTGCTTGAACCACTAGTTTCTGTACTATTGGTTTCCATCTCAGTTTTAAATCTTTAATATATCCTTCACAGTAGTCCCTTTAGGGGTACGTAACATTAATGTTCCTTCATATCCCTTTATTTTAATAAGTGACTAATGATTTTGGGTACCAAAATGGGATGCTGTAAAAGGTTGTTTGAAAACTTGAGCCATGTACTCAGCATTTTCTGAATATCAAGCTCTATTAAGGTGACTCAGGTTAGGTACCCAAAATCACTGATCTCTTTTTAAGATCTAGCCCTTTGTATATTAATCACCAATTCATTGAACTAAGGATGTTAAGTATTGAGTAATTCATTAATCGAATAGTCGATGCATTTTTGCCTCTGATAGAGGCAGCAAGTGGGGGGAAGCAACTAGTCGATTATCCAGTCGACAGGCTGTTAACATCCCTACATCGAACAAGACAGTATAAATGCAGTAATAATGTTACACCACATTAACATTTTCATTTCCTTGTCCCCAATTCTTCAGTCTAATTCATGGCAAATTAATTCAAGTTTTAGGAAAGCTGAGAAGAAATATCCATAGACGTCGGTGGTGGGTGAAAGCACAGCTAGAAAGGCAAGCCCCAGTCCTGCCCTGCCCCACCTTTTCCGCCTAAAGCTGTCCTTTGAGCCATGCCACCCCCACCCACAGCCCGATCCTTTCTAGGCACATGGAAGGCCAGGGCTGCCATGCCGCAGCCCTGCACTTGCCCTCCCCGGTGGGAGAGGGAAGCCAGGCAGACATGCCACAACTCCCTGGGAGCAGCTCCAGCCTTCAGCAGTTGGGCGTGTAGGCAATTCTGGAAAGGTTGTGCCTTCCCTTGCCTACATTACCAACCACCCATGCTGATGGACAGAATAACTCTGTAAGAAAATGTGTGAATGTCAAGGTAAAGGATACTGAAACACACTACTCCACCCACATTTAGAAATAATATTTTTGCTCAGAAGCCTTCCACAATTTAAGGAAGCTATTTTAAAAGTTTTTTCAAACCTTGATGTGTCCTCCAAAAGTATCATAATTGAAGTATTGACACTGATTGCCAGCATAGCAGGACTTCTCCATCTCTCCCTTGATTAGGATATTCCTAGTGAGAACACCAACCTCGGCCCTCATGTCCACTCCATCAATAACTTCTCCCATATGAAAGAACTGAGGAGTTTCTGTTAAAACAAAATTAGTTCTGTTAAAACAAACTATCATTTGTTTCCATAGGATTTGTTACAGAAAGCACCACTGTCTTCATAAAGCACAGGGCTGCTAAAGAGATGTTTGGGCACCAGAACAGGGCCAGGTTTTTAGACTGTCATCGACTTAACTGTAGGCAAGCACCTAATGGTAGAGGCTAGTACCCTCCCCACAAGGAAAGGATAGAAGTCCTGAAGAGGAGAAGTGCTGAAGCCCCTGCACAAGATGAAGGAGACTGAAAGGAAGGTTGCGGTAACCTTCCTTTAATAAGGAAACAGAAATGAATAAAAGAAAAAAAAAAACAATTAAGGATGTTCAAATTATTAAAAAAAAACTACTAGGAATACAGTAGCATTTCGAAGGAGAAGTTGTGTTTTGGTTGGGGGGTTTGTTCGTTTTTTTTTTTAAATATAATCAATTGGCTAATATTTCCCTCCCTCCCCCAGAAATAATCTGAAATAGTCAGAATAATAATCAGAAAATGTGGAAGAGTGTGATAACTGATCAGTACATTCAAACTGATCAGTACATTCAAACCCTTTTCAAGATCTACAGCCTGGATCCTGCAAAGATGTATGTACATGCTCAATCTTACTCATAGTGTGTAGCCTTACTGACTCCAGTATATAAAGCAAACCTACATGTAAAGTAATGCCCAACCAGCAACTGTTTCAGAAAAACTTTAACCAGCCATTTCAAATTACTGAAAGAAAATTCCAAAACTCATTGCTTCTTTTATTTTTCTAATTAATGTGACTTTTCCTAAATGGGAGAAAATTGTCATGACAATTAAAAACCTTTCTTCCCTTAAAACAAAGGTGACATCTCTGTCACAGCTGGTTCTTGACTACTACAGAAAGATTCCAGCTGAAAATTTACAACAGGAGTAATTCTCATACAAAACCTGATGTTAATAAGTGCGGGGTAGGTACTTCTTCCTTGCAGCTGGCAACCTTTGCTCACTCTCTTCCCCACCCTCTCAAAAAAGAATGATGGAGATGAGGTAGGAAAGAAAAGAATGCATTCTTCAAAAAATACTTCTGTATCCTACATGTATTACAAAGGCTACCAAAATTTAAGGAAGGGGGGGAATACTAATATCTGAAGAAAAATATATTGTAACCACACTTTCTTCATTTTGGAAAGGGGGAGGGGAAATTTGACTTAAGTTTTGCACGACTTATGCCTTGGAGCATAGCAAAACTTCCCTTTACAGTCTGCTTTACTTGGTTGCAAACTAGTACAAGAAACAGCATTCAAATTCATGCTGAGAAGTAATAAGATGTGCCAATTCAACTCTTTAATGAAAGTTCTAACAATTTACATTTCAAAGCTCCAAATTACTCCTCCTTTCAAAAGATGATGTTCAGGATTACATCACTCCCTAATATAAAGCGCTGTAAAAATGTGCCTGACAAAATGTGCCTGACAACCTTTGCAAGAGCAACTCTAGGTCATACGCGGACTGAAACGTATGTTCTTGAAGGTGAAATGTGTTTATAAATACTAATTTTGCTGGGTGAATGAAATCATGTTGTATTTCAAAATAGTGATGATGAGATAAACACTCAAGATTTGAGACTTGCAGGCCTCGCCACAGAGGAAAGGTTTTGGCATGAAGAGAGAGCACAGAGGTGTAAGAATTAGTATTGTACCCACATTTTGAATTAAAGAATAGCTTCTAAGTTGGGGGAAAAAAGAGCAAGACAGACAAGAAATACATTGGAGCACATGTGAAAAAACACAGAGAGAGAGAGAGGAGATACAAAAATGCTGTCCAAGATGTTAAGTTTGCACCAAACACTGGAAAACACTTTCAAAGAAGAAACTGGATCCAGAACAAAGAGGAAAACAGACCTGTTTAGGAGAACAGATTGGTTGTACTTCTTCCATACATGAGAGCATGTGATAAGCAGCATTCGACAAGTGTTAGAGGGTAGAGAAAGAGGTTCTTATAGTCAAGATGAGAACTGATTGCAGCCATGTGTGTTTCACCAGAGGAAACACTGAGACAGTAAGAAACAGAGCTGCAGTCAGAGGAGAAAGAGGAAAGTTCAAGAGTAAGGATGACAACAAGCATCAGTGGAAACTAAGAGTTCTGAGTCGAATAAAGAGAAATGAGAGAGCGTTTTGTTTGAGGGTGCTCATATTGTCCAAGTCATAAATATGGGAGGCCAAATGGGACAAACAAAGCTATCCCAAAAAGGTGTCAAATTACATGGAGAGTTGATCAAGGTTAAAAGTGATACTTAAGGGTAAAGCTATGAGATGAAGAGGATGGATGCTCAAGATCTGAGACATGAAGACTCTCCACAGAGAAAAAGTTTTGGCATGAAGGGGACACACAGAGGTATGAGGAGGGAAGAAAGAGATGGCCATCCAGATAAGGAAACAGTTTTGGAGAATGGAGTAAGCTGCAGTGAAACAGAGGTAACATATGCGGGCAAGCAAAATGGGGTTACATGTTGCCTGAGATTGTCAATTTTCTGTACCACTTGTTCACATGGTATAGCCAGGCCCCCTCCCTCCCTGGGGAGAGGCAGCAACCAACAGCTCAGAACTGCAGAGAGCAGCTGTTCAGGGTGAGAAGGGGACATTTGGGAGATGTGGTGGTGATGACTCAAGCTGTTTGGGGAGGAAATCTTCAAATTGTGTCCCCACTATCAACAGAACCAGCTGTCTCTGCAGTGAACTTAAAAAGTTGAAGCAAAAAAAGGGGAAATGGTCAGCTACATGTCAGAGCCATTTCTGTGTTCTCCCCAGAAAAGAAACAGTTTGCAACTGATTAGAGATATGCTGCAAGAGAAAAGATTGGAAATACGATAGTCACTTGCATAAACGTTTTACTGAAAAAGAAAAGAAAAAGATGCATAAAAAAGAAAAGATCAGAGGAAGTTTTTTTTTTTTTTAAGAGACTAAGGATATATGGCACATTTAAAGAGCTAATAAAGACACAAGAAGCAATGGAATTGAAAAAAATAAGTTGCAACAATTCAAAGAGCAAGGGTGGAAAGAGAACCAAATGGGGGGGGAGGGGGGAAGGGAGGTGAATGAAAAGTTAATTTACATTTAGAAAAAAAAAGAGGAATTAAAAAAAAAAAAAAAAAAAAAAGGCAGTGTTTGGGGGTGTGATGTTAACCTCACAAATCAGGAAAACTGAATACTAAAAGAATGAAATGCTTTCTTTATATTAGTTTCCTACCTTTGACTTTGACCTGATATTTGCTACACTCGGGACAGAGAAGGAGAGTGAATTCCTCTGCTTGGTACATTGAGTAGTCTGTGCTTGCAACAACGATCTGGTCTTCAGGCTTCCAGCTGCTAACATCTTCCAACAAATCCAGTATCACTCCATCTATAGCCTCTACCTGGAAACCTGAACGTGGAACACCTAAAAAAATAAAATAAAATAAATAAATATATATGCGCTAGAGCTTAAAATGTCATGTAGTTTACAAACAGAAATAAGTTGGGTGGTTAGTTGTCTTTCAAGGTCAGGGATTCCCTAGCTGGTCATGTTAATATGATGATGCTGTTCTTCAGCTATTTATCCAGGATGTATAACATGAAAGATCTATCTTTTGGTCTTTGTCTACCACTTGAATTTTGAATGAGTGATTCCGAAGGGTGATTCCGAAATAAACCCCTTACTTCAAATTACCAGTTAAACCTGAACGAAGTTTAAATCTGAATGAGGTTTAACTGGTAATTTGAAGTAAGGGGTTTATTTCGGAATCACCCTTCGGAATCACTCATTCAAAATTCAAGTGGTAGACAAAGACCAAAAGATAGATCTTTCATGTTATACATCCTGGATAAATAGCTGAAGAACAGCATCATCATATTAACATGACCAGCTAGGGAATCCCTGACCTTGAAAGACAACTAACCACCCAACTTATTTCTCTCGTAAATCTGATTGATGAGATATCAGTGCAGATATAGTCTATCTGATAATTAGTCAAAGAATATTATTCATACCCATCCTGTTTAAATACCTAGGAATAAAACAAACAGAAGAATGTAACTATATTAAGCCACTGATTAAAAGGAGAGCTTTATGAATCTGAAACTCCATCATAGTTCCAGTATAGACAGACACAGATATTCCTTGGCTTAATGGTGAACACACAGGTCTTTATTACCCTTTGAAGTAATGTTTCATCAAGATCTCATCAAGATCTCTGTCTTTAAGCTGATGCAAATACTGTTAATAGTTACTTGTTAGGGACTGGGTAGAAAGAGAGAGAGGTGGCAGATCCATACATTTAATGGGGATCCTACAATGTCTTCACAAAGTACAAGGGGACTCACTGATATTTGTAGGCAATGGGCATTGGTGCAAGTTTTCCCTGATCAAAACTAGGCTGTAAGCAGCCACCGGACTCAGTGGCCTGCATCCATTTTTGGTTTAAAAATAAACATGGATGAGAGGATTGAGCTTTAGTATCATACAATGACAATGAATTTCTGATACCGATAAAACATTTACTGGCAAGGAATTTGACCTCAGAAGCAATTTCCTTTTCCTAATCAGGGCCAACACCCATAGAACTAAGAATAAGAAAAGCAGTTAAGGATTCAGCAAAAGCAAAATACTCGTGTGTGTTTAGATATTACCATACCAACAGGCAGTCAGAAGTATACATGTCAGAGTAATTCAACTAACAGGGAGGCCCTTTTGTGAAAAATAAAGTCAGCCATGCTTAAGAACTCTCCAAACATTGCAAGGAACAGCAATTAACACAATATTCTAATAGCACTAAAGATGAGGGGAAAAAAGGCAAACATGGAAGAGATATACAAAAACTCCACAACCCTCTCAAACCTCCATCCTGAAGTAAGTGATCTTGTCTGCTATTTCTCCAGCACAGAATTTTTTAAATTTAAGTACTAGGGTACAGTTCACTGTAGTCCTTTGATGCTATGTTGGGGGCTTCACAGCACTGAAGCAGACAAAGAGGTTTACATTTTAAAAGTTTTCATTTTTTAAATCCTCCCTTCTATTTGGATTTGGATTTCATCCAAAAATCAGGTATCATTAACAGTAAACAGGCAAACATCTCACTGCAGTAAGTAGTTAGAAAGTTAGCTTGCATTACAAAACAATTCTGGAAAATAAAATGTCCAAATAGCTTGTTTTTCCTCTTTTTTACCCCAAACCGAAAATTAAATTACCTTTCCTACCTTCATTCCATTCACTAAAAGCTCTCACGACAAACTTCTGACCATCCACTGTGAAAAATTCTCTTTGAGCAAGAGCTTTCCCCCCAGTGCTATGATTTTCATAATCTCTCACAGATTCATTACAGGAGGAATTTCCACCACCTATGACACCGACTAAAGCCCAGGCTTGCCTGTAAAAAAAGTGAATTGTTAAAAAAACAACAACAAAAACCCACAACAAATCCACAAAAATCCCCTTCAAAGAAATCCTTTGCTAATAGACATGGTACACAATAAACATCACACTATACTTATTCAAACATTCTTTTGCCTCTTTTCCAAAATGTTTTAAAATACATTTGCAAAATACAGTAGAAGAATGCGAGCTCTTCATGCAAGAGATAATTGTTGAAAATATTTGGTTGCTCCCATATGCAGGCTGGAAAATACTTGCCACTCATTCTCCTTTGGGGAAAGATTCCAAGCCTCAGGAAATATTAATACTTCGTCCAGTGACTTCTAAGTATTTTACAGATCAGAAGAGCACATGCAAAGTGTTGTTGTGTGCATATAACAAAGTACAGAGAGATTAAAACCTTGTCCATACTAAGTAATACTTGCTGAAGTTTCCCAACATAATAGCAATAGTGTAGTGGTAGGAATTGACAGCCTTCAAGAACCTTTCAGACCTACCTGTGCTGCCCATATCTACCTTTGGAGCTGTAACAACAACAACTACACTTGACCTAAATTTATACATATATACACTTGCACTGCTATAGACACCCTGTGAACATGGGATTGCTAGGTGTCCAGTTTTTAGCTGGAATGACCAATCAAAAAAGGATCCTGGTGACTCTCATCAGCACAACTGACCAAGCTGCTACAAGTCTGGTTGGAGGCACAGGCAGGATCCCTGACTCTGCACAGCTCCTGGAAACGACCATGTCCTCCTGTAGCCTGCTAGTGGAGGCACATCCCGGTGTCTCTGTGTGCCACTTGCACCCATAGGTACCACCCCTAGAGCTGGACCATGCACCCCTCCTGCACCCCCCTAATCTCCTGCCCAGCCCTGAGCCCCCTCCTGCACTCGGAACCCTGCACAGCCCGGAGACCCTTCTTGCATTCAAAACCCTCATTCCCAGCCCCATCCCAAAACCTGTACTGCAAACTAGAGCCCTCATTCTGTTCCCACATCTCAACTCTTTGCCCAAGCCTGGTGAAAGTGTTGGGGGGGAGGGGCAGAGAGAGGGAACGTGCAAGGAGGGGAAAAATGATTGGGGAAAGGACCCCAGAGAAGGGGTGGGGAAAAGGCATTTTTGTGCAATTAGAAAGTTATCAACCCAACCAGAGGGGTGTTTGTGTCTGTACCCATGATTTTTATTGATACTTAACTTTTCCACTTTTAGAATATATCCTCTCATGTAAACATGCTTTCTTTCCTGAAACTTCTGCCTTTCTTCATATATTCTACTCTTTACACTAGGATTACTCAACACGAAGCCCCACTTGTTTGCAGCCCACAGTGCAGTTTGGGTTTACGTGGGGCTCTATACACGGCCTGCAGGTGGGATCCTTTGAACATGGCCTCCGCTAGGAATATGCTCATTCTGCTTTACACTTTAATCAGAGCTGGGTTTTGACTACGTGGAATCCATAAATACAATATCCTGAAATTCTTCTCCTACTTCCTGCACCTCCATGTATTCCAGCCACAAATCTAACCTAAATCATAAGTTCCAGCAATTTTTAGAGTATTGCTTTGCAAGTTATTGAAATTGGAAGATTATATTGCACAAAAACAAACCTATTGAAATATTTTTAGTGAGCGTTCACTGTTCCATGCCATGTTTAATGCACAGTCAGTGCTCTCAATCATTGGTTTCAACTGTGTGAAATGACAAAAATCCTACTGTCAGATTGAGTATGGACACATCACTAAACCAGCACCCTTATTCCTAGCACTACTGATTAGGTGATTAAATCCAATTTTGATTTAAAAAATGCCTTATATGAAACAGCCTGTGTCAGCTAGTCAGTTTGCTGGATAGCCAATCATTTTCAAGAGAAAAAATTATAACCTTCAGTCCTGACTCTAGTTAATTCATATGCATAGGCTTTTGAGTTTAAAAAGAACATATGTACTTTTTACATAATGTTATATTCTAGCCTAATCTAATCACAATGTACTGAACATGTCTTTCTGTAACCTCACTGTCTATGAAGTCAAAATAAGCATCTGGCAGAAAGAATATCCAAAGATACGATCAAGACTGAAGAGCTCTTATTTTGTGGAGGAGGGAAATTGTCTTACCTTTTAATTTCTCTCTTTTTTAAATTGTCATGAGACCCGAGTGACTATTACTCGTGAGTGGCCAGCAGAGAAGACATGGAATGTCTGTCTGCTGCTGCTGGCGACATGAGAAAGAGAACTGCAGTAAGAAGAAAGGAGTCTCAGCCTACTAGTGAAAGCAGCTGGGAATCAAGGAAGAGAAGCATGGGGTGACGGGAGGAGAAACACTCCTGCTCCCTCACTGCACTTGAGATAGAGAATTTCAGATGAACAAATGAGGAAGTACAACCCTCCCCTTTTCCTTACCACTTTACCCCACTGCCCCAAGAGGTGATGGGGCAGCCTGGGTACCTTAAATCTAAGGTGAACTCCTCCAATTACATCATACTCAGAGGAAGATATGTGCAGACAACCTCCTTAGCACCTACAAGGGCACATCAGAACCAGCCTTGGACTCAATCTTTACCATGAAATGCCCAATTGCCTCTCATTTCCTGTTCCTATTAACACATCTGAGGCTAGAATCCAGACTTAGGAAAGCCTCCCAGTCTCAGGTGACTAGATCCTTCTCTGATGTTCAGAAGACTCTTTCTTGCACAAAAGCCCTTCAAAAGGCATTCCACGTCACAAAGGGTACGTCCAGACAGCAGCGATGTTTCGGGATACAGAATAGCTATTTCGAGTTGCTGGAAGTATCTTTTACACAAGCCTGTTATTTCAAAATAACGGGCTCGCTATTCCAACATCCCTGTAAACCTCGTTTCATGAGGATCAAGGGACATTTTGGAATAGTGCTCTATTTCAAAATATGGTGCTATTCCAAAACATACTCGAAATAAGTGATGCAATTTGCGCACATCAAACTGCGTAGCTTATTTCGAGCTACATGTGCAGCATAGATACACCCAAAGATAGTTCTACAACAATAAAACACTACATGGGCATTTTGTCACGCCAGGAAGTTGAAACCCTGACAGTCTTCCTGTATGGTTAATGCAGAGGGAGCATAATGGCCTAATTCTGAAGTGGTAGTGTGGGAAGGGCGAGGGCTTATGGGCAGACACAAAAACAAAGACACTATTTATTATTAGATAAATATTTTAACAACAATATTATTCTAACAAATCCCAATGCCAGCTGAAGATTGGGTTCCATCCAAGCAAAAAAAGTACAACTGACACACAGCTGGAAACTTATCCTTGGCTTTAGAATGCACATTCCCTAATAGCTACAAACACACTTTCAAATGCATTTCATCACCAGGTGGTAGGGAATGGGATTGTGATCTGTAGAGGCAATGTCATAAAGAAATTGAGATGCCTAGCAGAGGCATTGTCAAAATATTAGTTTCTTATAACTTGCCAAAGAGCACTGACAACAGAAAAAAATGCAGCAGCTAAGAGTGTATCACGTTTTACTCTCACACTCTTCTGTGGGGTAGGAAGGAAGTTAAATGTGTTTGATCTCATTAGGGCTCCTTTTTCACACTTGGTTTTCTAATTTGTCACTTCTTACCCCAAAATTGCCAGTAACATGCACCAGATGTCAACACCTGCGTTTTATTTGTGTATTTAAAAAAAAACAAAACTCTGAAATAAGCATAAGTCATACAATTTATATGAACAGTTATGAAGATTGGTGAGTAGAGTAATTGTGAACATAAGTGTTAAAAATCCATTACACACACAATATTTCTAGTGTTATAATGAGCACTTGCAGGTCTGTACACTGTTAAAAACTGTGTTAATTAATCCTCCTCAATATTTCTGCAAGAGATTATCTGTAAATAAGACATTTATTTGCATACCATACCAGCATGAAGGGCTTTGGAGGACAGACTTAGAGGAGTATTAGACTGTGGGAAAAAAAAATATAGCACTTTCATAAGGTTTCACAAATCCCTGTTCACAGGATATAGATATCACATCTAGAGGTACTAAGTAGATTTGAAGCAAAAACAAAAATTCTTTACCTGTAACCCAGTCCTTTGACAAGCTTACTTCCAAGAAGATTTTGAATAGTCACTATGGTTTCATGAAGGAGACTTTTCATAGCTGAATCACCTACAGCAATAGCAACAATGCGGCCAGGATCCTGATCTTTCAAAAAATCTTGAAGTCTCCTGCTTTCATTTTGATATTCGTGGGTATCAAACCTATCAACCACCAAAACTTGTGCTGTGTCCTGGTCAATCACTCTGACATTTAGCCCTCGGGAAAAATTCCTCTCAAATGCATACGAACCAGAGGCCAGCCCTGAGGAATACATAGTCTTTGACAGCAAAGTCCATGATAATTTCTGAGTCCCATGCAATTCAAGTGTTCCATCAGAGCCAACCCCAATAAACTTTTTGCCAAATATTGGCACACCATCACCTTCATCTGAGTTGCCATACAAAATTATAGTTGCTTTGGATTTATAGCGACACTTCTGTGCTCCAATATGAAGCGCTCCACCATCCTTTATCAGGATAAACCGCGTTCTCAAAGTGATATTTCTGGATCCATCTTTATCATCACTGAAGACAAGTAAGCCTATAGAAAATAATATTTTGATATTAAATTAGGTTAAAAGCCCCCAAATCTGTTTTTTTTTTTAAATAGTGTAAGCCAAATCCTGCAATAAATATCTCAAAGTTAGCGGAAGATAATCATTTTGGTTTCTAAATTAATTTAGGAAAGGAAAAATGAGTATTACAAGATGTCACGTTTAAAAATATCTGGAAGAAAACTATAAATTGTAGCAGAATGGCATTTTGACAAGCTCTTTTATTAAGTATGATAATTGCGAATCTGCCAATTTTTCTTCCCAGTTTGTGAACAAACAATACATCAATACTAATTCCACCAATTAGATTTGGTCATTAATAAGTTACTATGCAAGTCCTGACCTAAACGGTAAGAGCTAGGACCACCAATTTTTGTCTGCAGCTTCCTCATCTCCTAACTGAAAGCAAGGTCAGAGTTTGATCATGCCAGACAAACCAGAAGTGCTGGGAATGGAAATGTTTTCCATAACATGGGAAAGGAGGGGCTGTTCAAAGGGACACAATACTCACAGTGTACACTGGAGGCAATAAACCCACAAGGCAGAGTTACACTGCTGAGCGACCCTGGGGGCTGTCGTACCACCAACGGAGTTGCCAGTAGTACTGGGGCTCCAGCATCTTGCCTGCCAGCAGACCTGGTAAGTAGCTCCGCTGCTCACCCCCAGGAAGGAGCAGGGGGGAAGAGAAACAACACTCACTGACTCCCCCCTGCCCTGGGAGGGACCAGGGGAGAGCGATGGAGCCACTGCCAGCCTCCGTGCCCCAGGCAGTGGGAGGAAGAGTGCCTTGTGCCAGCCCCCAGGGACAAGCCAGCAAGCAGCATGTGCGGCACTCACTGCCTTGGGCCACCCACCCACTGGCAAGAAGCCAGCAGCCGACCCTTGCCTTGAGTAACACCATTATCCCAACCCTGTGCCCATAGCCCCTCCACACCCCTTCAATTCCTCCACCCCTTGCTCTCTGCCCTGATCCTCTGCAGTGCAGACACCCCAAAACCTTCACTCACACACCTCCACATTCCCAACCCCTTGTTCTGAAGGAACCAGGCATTACTGGGTACATCTTCTAGTCTGTTTATCATATTTGAGACTCTTGACACACAAAACCCTAAGAAGTGCAGTGAAGTGGTGAAACACTGAAATAAGTTGCTTAGGAAGGTTGTGGAATCAACTGTTAATCATAGAAAACTAGGACTGGAAGGGACCTCGAGAGGTCATCGAGTCCAGTCCCCTGCCCTCATGGCAGGACCAAATACTGTCTAGACCATCCCTGATAGACATTTATCTAACCTACTCTTAAATATCTCCAGAGATGGAAATTCCACAACCTCCCTGGGCAATTTATTCCAATATTTGACCACCCTGACAGTTAGGAACTTTTTCCTAATGTCCAACCTAAACCTCCCTTGCTGCAGTTTAAGCCCATTGCTTCTTGTTCTATCCCCAGAGGCCAAGATGAACAAGTTTTCTCCCTCCTCCTTCTGACACCCTTTTAGATAGCAGTTTTCAGGTATCATGTCCCCCCTCAATCTTCTCTTTTCTAAACTAAACAAACCTAATTCCTTCAGCATTCCCTCATAGGTCATATTCTCTGGACCTTTAATCATTCCCGCTGCTCTTCTCTGGACCCTCTCCAATTTCTCCACATCTTTCTTGAAATGCGGAGCCCAGAACTGAACACAATACTCCAATTGAGGCCTAACCAGCGCAGAGTAGAGCGGAAGAATGACTTCTCGTGTCTTGCTCACAACACCCGTTAATGCATCCCAGAATCAGGTTTGCTTTCTTTGCAATGGCATCACACTGCTGATTCATATTCAACTTGTGGTCCACTATAACCCCTAGATCCCTTTCTGCCATACTCCTTCCCAGACTGTCATTTCCCATTCTGTATGTATGAAACTGATTGTTCCTTCCTAAGTGGAGCACTTTGCATTTGTCTTTATTAAACTTCATCCTATTTACCTCAGACCATTTCTCCAATTTGTCCAGGTCATTTTGAATTATGACCCTATCCTGTAGATAAGTCACAACCCCTCCCAGCTTGGTATCATCTGCAAACTTAATAAGCGTACTTTCTATGCCAATATCTAAATCGTTGATGAAGTTATTGAACAGAGCTGGTCCCAAAACAGACCCCTGCAGAACCCCACTTGTTATATCTTTCCAGCAGGATTGTGAACCATTAATAACTACTCTCTGAGTACGGTTATCCAGCCAGCTATGCACCCACCTTATAGTAGCCTCATCTAAGTTGTATTTACCTAGTTTACTGAAAAGGATATCATGCGAGACCATATCAAACGCCTTACTAAAGTCTAGGTATACCACATCCACTGCCTCTCCCTTATCCACAAGGCTCGTTATCCTATCAAAGAAAGCTATCAGATTGGTTTGACATGATTTGTTCTTTACAAATCCATGCTGGCTGTTCCCTATCACTTTGCCACTTTCCAAGTGTTTACAGATGATTTCCTTAATTACTGGCTCCATTATCGTCCCTGGCACAGAAGTTAAACTAACTGGTCTATAGTTTCCTGAGTTGTTCTTATTTCCTTTTTAATAGATGGGAACTATATTTGCCCTTTTCCAGGCCTCTGGAATTTCTCCTGTCTCCCATGATTTTTCCAAAGATGATAGCTAGAAGCTCAGATACCTCCTCTATCAGCTCCCTGAGTATTCTAGGATGCATGTCATCAGGCCCTGGTGACTTGCAGGCATCTAACTTTTCTAGGTGATTTTTAACTTGTTCTTTTTTTTATTTTACCTTCTAAAATTACCCCCTTCCCACTAGCATTCGCTATGTTAGGCATTCCTTCAGACTTCTCGGTGAAGACCGAAACAAAGAAGTCATTGAGCATCTCTTCCATTTCCAAGTTTCCTGTTACTGTTTCTCCCTCCTCACCGACCAGTGGGCCTACCCTGTCCTTGGTTTTCCTCTTGCTTCTAATGTATTTATAAAAAGTCTTCCTGTTTCCCTTTATTCCGGTAGCTAGTTTGAGCTCATTCTGTGCCTTTGCCTTTCTAATCTTGCCCCTACATTCCTGTGCTGTTTGCCTATATTCATCCTTTGTAATTTGTCCTACTTTCCATTTTTTATATGACTCCTTTTTTATTTTCAGATCATGCAAGATCTCGTGGTTAAGCCAAGGCGGTCTTTTGCCATATTTTCTATCTTTCCGACACATCGGAATAGCTTGCTTTTAGGCCCTTAACAGCAGATGAGATATAAATCTATCAGGGATGGTCGGTCTAGATGGTACTGGGTCCTGCCACGAGGGCAGGGAACTGGACTCGTTGACCTCTCAAGGTCCCTTCCAGTTCTAGTGTTCTATGATTCTATGAAAAGTAGGTTTGGAACCAAAGATATTTTTATCCAGAATTTGAGGGACAAGCTCAGTGTGGGTGGCTGTCTGTATGCTGGTGAGGTGTGGGAGGAACTATTTTAAAGAACTTATTAGAAAAAGATGTTATCTTTAATCTGAAAGTACAGAAGCATGAGGTTACATCTTTATGTTGATTTTCCATATGACGTGTAAGGCTATGTCTACACTGTGGCCTTTTTTTAGAAAAAGATACGCAAATCGTGAACTGCAATTTGCATACCTTTTTCCACTTGTTTTTTCAGAAGAGGCTTTTCTGACATTTGGCCTGTCTACACAAGGCCAAATGTGGGGAAAAACCTCCTCTTTTGAAAGATCTCTTATTCCTCACAAAAAAGAGGAAAGAATGCGCTTGCTTTTTCAGAAACTGTTCCAAAAAAGCAGATGCGTTCCCTGGACGCAGCAGAGTTTTTCTGGGATTTCTTCGGTACCCCAGAAAAACTCTACAGTCTAGACATAGCCTAAAAGTCTGCCTTCCCTTACTAATTCATCTTTGAATCCATGTTAGAAAAGCTTTTTATTTCTTTTTCTAATGTTTTCTTCCAAGTAGATAGTTGCTGTGCAAATTGCATTGAGTGCCTATGCCTAAGTGAACAGGAGACTGTTGCAAGCCTTCAGGGGGGACATGCCATGGGGAAACAGGCTGAGTCATTAAAAATCCAAGGAGCAAGAATTTGGGAGGACTAGGGACTGAAAGAGCTTTTGTAAAGAGTAACTAGGCTGGTAAGACCTTTTGTTTATGAGCTGACTGTCATGGAACCTTAGCTGCACAGCACAAAATCCCCCCCAAGTAATAGGGCAGGTGAGGACAGAACCTCCTACTGATCTCATAGACCCCAAAACATTACAACAGATTACTCTTAACACACTGACATATACAAAGCCTAAGAGTGTTACCATAAATACGCAAAAAATGATAAATGTCATTACATTTTGTGGAACAATATTATTTTGCATTAGACAATTTCATAACTTAAATTCGGCTTTCCTCAAAGTGGTCATTTTCCTGTTGAAACATACAATATTTTAAAATATTGCATGTTTTAAATGCAAAAGTATTCATTGGAATGATGTTCAATTCTGAACTTTCAAAAAAATCAGAACCACCAGAGTAAAAGAGCCTCATATTAAAAACAGTACAAATGGTAAGTTTAAAAGTCTTTCACTAAATGAAACACAAAGTCCTCAAATTATACTTCTCACATATCACCGCAGGGTTTCTGCACACTTACTACCAGTGCAGAAGAGCAACTGTTTTGGCAACACTTAAGTGGGAAAAGGGAAGAATGATGTTTGTTTAGATATACCAAGTTTTCTCCTCACCTGCTTTCCCTCCAACCCACATTGTCATACCCATCTACATCTGTCTATTGTACTGTGGGCATAAATTCAGAAACATGTTAAAAATGGAACATAACAGTTGATTGAAGCGTATGGCTTGTTTTGCCATTACACACCTCCATCCTGTATGACTATTGAGTGCACTGTAGCATCCGAATTCAGACGAAACAAATCATCCTTTTTGATGACAACTCTCTTTCCAGTATCTTGTCCAGGGTCCCAATTCTGAAGGCGAGGGTTCTGATCGGGACAATTCTCTGCAATATAATAGTCAAGCCAATTAAAAATACCACACACAAACACATTATGCTAAGACACTTCAAAAAACATAAGGCAGAGGTTCTCCTCCCCTCTACAAGAACATGAAAGTCTCATTCATTAGGAACAAGTTGTTACAGCCATAAGATTAGGATTATTTTTCTAATTACTGTAGGTGGAATGGCATCAGAAATCCTGAGTGACTGTTTCTTTTTGTTGTTTTCCTAAATCTATTACAGAGGTCAAACTTACACAGCAAAATCAGACTCAGCTTTAGTAAAAGGAATGTAGTCTTGCTCTTAAACTGAACCACCTAGTACACCAAGAGCATTACAAAAATTCTCCTGCCAAAAAAAAAAAACCATCTGCCATTTAGATACCAAGGTAATTAGGTGAGGTTACAAAAAAACCACAGAATTCTGTACTCTCAACAGTTGGGTTAAGATTGTTCAAAAGCTGCCAACTACAGCAGTAGCAACCTGCTTCCTCATACAATATGAATATGGAGGTGAGTAGACAGAGAGCTAGGAAACACTCTCTAAAGCAGCTGGAAAAAAGGAGAAAATGTGTGAGAGAGGGGCAGGGGAGGGCAAACAACAGATGCCAAGACTAACAGTCCAGTACCCTGCGTTAGAACAATGGTTGGATGGTTTCATGTCAATGGAATTAATCCACATTGCCTCTGAAGGAGAAGTGATCAGGATCTCTCAATTTAGCTTCAGAAAATAAAGGGGCATACAAACAGACAATTGTAAACATCCCTATCTAAGGAAATGGGATCACCACTCTGTAATGAAATAGTAACGATTCCTCTCTTCTTTAACGTAATTCTTAGCATTTCTGATTTATATTTTTCAATATATTTAGCACCATACTCTCATTTCAACTCTTTTCTATAGTGAATTTGTATCAAAATCTTTTTCACTGGAGCCAAGATTTGACTTAGAAAAGGAAGATTAAGTAAATATGTAAATACTTGGCCAGAAGACACTTAAGTAATAATATAAATTCTACAAGGAAACAAAGAACGGAAACATCATGGCTAGAGACAATTGTTTAGGATTGTCCAAAGTAGTGATGATATAAAACTCAACAAATGAATCTCAGATAAATAGCAGGATGCATTTCCTTAATAGTTATAACAAATAAACTGATGATTTTTCTCCAAAGGAAATGGAAGTTCCATTATTTCAGGATTAGATTGTACAAAGCTGTAGCAAACATACATTTCCCTTTGGTGCCCCCAAGCAACGTAATAAGATGAACTAATAAGTAGAGATATTAGCTAGGAGGTAATAGAATAGTTGAGTAATCACATGAATTTTTAGTGGTTAGTCGACTATTCTATAGTCCCTGGGAGCAGGGCCGGCAGCCAGTGTACCCCAGCCCCACTCCCACGGAGCTCCCTACCACCCTTGCTGCTGCCACTGCCTCCCTGCAGGCCCCCTCCCAACCCCTAAAACTTGGGGGGGGGGGGGGGGGGGGGAATGAAGAGAGACAGAGGTTGCACCACGGAGCCAATGCTGGGGGGAACTGGCAAAGGCAACAAAGGAGGCAGGGGGAAATGCAAGTAGCCAACCAATAAGCCTAGGCTTATCAGTTAATCGGATAGTCAACTACTCCTTTACATCCCTACTAATGAGACAATAACTTTATGATAAGTTCTATGAAAAGCTCTATGAAGTACAAGGCTAAGGACAGTAGATTCAGTGTAGTGATAGGAAGGAGGGAGATAAGAAAGCAATTCTAAAACTGAATGTTTTAGGGATTTCCAGTAAATTAAACTGACAAAAGATACGAACATCAGATGCACAAAATTAAGTTTCTCTAACATACATTTGCTTTTTCTTTTCTTTTCTTTTTTTTTTTAAACACCCACAGAATGTGCATCTCTGTTCCTTGATGATGAAGCTTAGAGTTTCACAGCAGTAAGTGCACTGAAAATCTTCCTTGATATAACAACTGAATAGGCTTCAGAGGAGAGAGGGATAAAACACCCAGCATTCATTATATAATATACTTCCCTCCAAAATTATCAGTAATGTTTT